GTATTATCCATCCAAGCCAGTACATATGGATTACTGATGTGGTTGAGTAGAAAAGCATGAAAATGTTCAACTATAGAGATGAAAACATGGTTTCTAGCAAAGAATCCTCAAGAAAAGACAAGCTTTTTAATTTCATTCTTAGGGAATGAGAGTTTGAAAAATTGGAGAATGCTTCCAATCTTTCTCCACTTTAATTATTTAATCGACTTATATACAGTCAAGAAAGGATTATCAAGTTTACAATAAGCAAATAATGGCTCATTCTCATACTCAGTTGGATCCAATATTTTCAAATTTCCACCACATAATAGAAGAGTTCGAATTTGATGAAAACATTACAAAAATAAGAAAGCATGCCAAAAGAACTTGGAGATCAACCTGAACCTGTGAAAAACCGGTTTGGAAAGGGCGAACTGGTATAATCAAACCCAATTTAAAGGTAAAAACAAACCATATTTGGTGATATCACTCTTGGGTGACGTGCACAGGGTCCAGGCACAAATTTTCTAGCTAATGGTGTTAGGGTTCGACAATATTGAAATGGTGGTTGCAAATTGGGGCTTGGTTGAACATTTCATGGTCAGGAAGGTGCCATTCACGTGGTGCAATAGCTAGGCAAACTTGTGGTGATGAGTGAAATGAATTATGATAAATTTCGCAACACATATCCTAGTTGTATACCCTGCAAAGTTCTTTGAGGCTATTGGTGGTGGTGACGTCAATCACTACACACTTGTTGTGGGTGTTCTACTAGGGCTGATGGCAAGATATCTTAAGCTTTGCATTTGGTCGGATATGTTTGGATGTCAAGCTTCAAGTTTTTGGATATAGAACTTTTTTAGCTCCAATACCAATAAGTGCATGATAACTTTTGCCTATTTGGAATATGAGGATAAAACCTAGATGCCATAGCTAGAATTTCTTAAATATTACACCTAAAATTCTTAAACCTTAGAACCGAAATTTGATTGCATCAAATAAACAAGAAAAATTGAGAATATTCTCAAAGAAACCTTCATTGAGTAATTGGCCTTCTTTTAAAAGTGAGATCCTGGAAGTATTTAAGTTGGTTGCTAAGTAAGATTTCTAATGGTGTTAGGGTTCGACAATAGTCTCATATTGAAATGGTGGTTGCAAATTGGGGCTTGGTTGAACATTTCATGATCAGGAAGGTGTCATTCACGTGGTGCAACAGCTTAGCAAACTTGTGGTAATGAGTGGAATGAATTATGATAAAGTTCGCAACACATATCCTAGTTGTATACCCTGCAAAGTGCTTTGAGGCTATTGGTGGTGGTGACGTCAATCGCTACACACTTGTTGTGAGTGTTCTATTAGTGCGGATAGCAAGAGATCTTAAGCTTTGCATTTTTTTAATTGGTCGGATATTTTTGGATGTCAAGCTTCAAGTTTTTAGATATAGAACTTTTTTAGCTCCAATACCAATAAATGCATGACAACTTTTTCCTATTTGGAATTTGAGGATAAAACCTAGATGCCATAGCTAGAATTTCTTAAATATTATAACTAAAATTCTTAAACCTTAGAACTGAAATTTTATTGCATCAAATAAACAAGAAAAATTGAGAAGATTCTCAAAGAAACCTTCATTGAATAATTGACCTTCTTTTAAAAGTGAGATCCTGGAAGTATTTAAATTGCTTGCTAAGTAACATTTCCTAATTAGGATTAAACTAAAAATATTAATACTAACAAGAATTGAAAAACTAAATAGTCAGTAGTTGTATCTTTAAAAGAATTATAATTATAATCTATATATTAAATTGAAATTTTTGAATCATGGATCAAAATAACTATTCTATAGGATTCTGGTTGGAGTCAAGTTCTTTTGAGGAGAGAGAGAGAATAAGGTTTCACTCTAGTAGTTTTACTAATATAAGACTACTACCATTATGATTATACTCTAGTAAGAAAATTTTATATTTGTTAAGGTTTTGTTTCATATTCAGTACTTTTATTTTGTTATTATTTTCTTTCTTTAAGGACTCTAGTCATATGATGCTATTTATGCTTCTAATAGGTACATGGGAAGTTCATCATTATTAATCAGACTACTTATAAATAAACACTACTATTTTTTCTCTCCATTCCTAACAACTCTGAGATTGTGGTTGTAGCAACCCTGTTATTGTGGTTGTTGTCAATCCCTGTGATTGTATACTGGATTTATCTTTTCTTGTCTAAAATTTTTATCTTTCCAAACCCTATGTTTGTTGTGCCACATCAGTTTAAATCTAACGTAGTTGATTGTCTTAATGGATAGACAATTCAAGGTTTAAAGGAATAGTTGTATCCTAGTATGTACAAAAATAAGTCTACAAGTTTTTTAAGACTTTCAAATTATCAAAGATTTTTGAACTCTATCTCAAGAAGCCCATACTAATTGAAGAATCATAGGGGAAATGCCTAAACATAATCCTGTATGATATTCTTAACTCTTAATGATTGAATACTCAGGTTAGTTCTGATCTAAATCAATTGTAAGAAGAAAAATGAATGAAAAAAGCACCAGAAAACAGTTGAGTGAGAGAAAGGACGAGAATAAATAATGCGGGAAGCGACCTTCAGATATTTTTGGAATTAAATTATTAACATTTTTGCATTACCAAACTTAAATTTCTGTCCAAAACCCTGGATGTTTACTTATTGTTTCTAGCATGATTATGACGGATAAAAAAATTAAGATTCACTCCTTTGGTGAAAAAATATGTAACAGGTGCACCCATGAACTATTTCCCTTTACCCAGCCTAATATGAGAGAATCTGAACCTAAGATGCTATCCCCATATGAACTATTTCCCTTTACCCAGCATAATATGAGAGAATCTGAACCTACGAAGCTATCCCCATATGGACTCAAAAAGCATGTACTTAAGAACAAATATTTAAGGATAGATCTTTCAACAACCACACCTGTATTACCAATTACTGAATTTAGATTAAAACCTTTCCTCTTCGGTTAATTACAAACTTTAATATGCATATTAAACTTTTAGTCTTGATAGCTTGCCCCAACAATTCTATTACAAGCAACAATTTGTTTATCCACCGAAAAGCACAAATCTTCAATTGCTACATTCATTATAGAGCTAGGTTTTTTCTCTGAACCAATAGAACCTATAAGTTCTTTTGTTCATTAGCTGCACAAGCTACTGCCCCGTTAATATCCTTTTCTTCCCAAGAGGAGACATAAAACCTATAAACAGTCCCAAGGATCAAGCAGCTTCTAGACGGTATGTAAAGTCATTTTTCTAAAGAAAAATCAGTATGGCCCAAGCTGATCTATTAAATGCTAGCTAAAACTATACTGGCAGCTTCATAAACTATAACACTTACAGCTAGAATCACATAGTTCCCCTACACATTTCTCCTCAACTTTGTAAGAAATCAACGACAAAGCGTCTCTTAAATCCCACTCTATCAACAATGTGGAAAGTGTCTACAACATAGTCATAATATCAATGTAGCAACACAGCAAAAAAAGCCGCAGAAACAGAGCAAACAGCAAGAATCAAAACGAGGCTAAAATTGTCGTATTAGGTAATAAACCTCAGATTAAAAATAAACAAAACAACAAAGATTTGCACATCGCTACTCTAAACCTAGAAACATTTCCAGAAAAGAAAAAAAAAAAGGCTTCATGGAAAAAAAAAAAAAATCGAGGCCAAGAAGAAAACAAGTTAGGACATTACCTTTTAGGCAAAAATGTCGTGCTAGAAGACTGCACCACCATGAGAGAAAAGCCATGGCCAGCGAGAATTTGAGTTCGAGCAGCTGTGATCATCTTCAACACTGAGATGAACGAAAAATCGCAGAAGAGGCAAAGGTTTCTGATGTTTAAGCAAAGAGAAGAAACTCTACTGCTTATTACTGGCACGAATCCCAAATATATATATATACACACACACACACATATAGAAAGAGAAAGAGAGAGAAAGAGAGAGAGAGAGAGAGAGAGAGAGAGATTTTCTCGTGACACGTAGTACTCGAGGTCGATGGTTTTGAATATGAAACCCCGCGCTTTATCTTTACATGTCCGCCTTTCTCCCTAGCTGCCTCTGCGTTTCGTTTTCGTGCTGCAGATTGAGAGGAAGTCATTAATTGCGCCGGACAGCGCGTTTTCTACACGAACCAATCATTTATTGCCACGAAAGCACCTTGTGATGCTGACTGACAGCTTTACTTGACTAATTAACGTTGTAATTATATAACACTACCGCTTTCGTACAAGCCGCGCGCGTGTTGGATTTCCTACGCTGTGCGCGTGCAGGATTCTCTCTCTTTTTTTTTTTATTTCTAAGATAAATTAGTACAATTAGTAATTTATATAATAAATATTTTATAAATAAAATTTTAAATGTAATTTTGATTATTTTTATAAATTAAAAATTTTATTTTATAAATAAATTAGTTTATAAATTAATTTTTTTTTTTTGCTATTAACTCTCTCATTTGTCCTATTGGATTATATCCTCTTAACACTTGGAGTATTAAAGATAGATTTACATGTATAAAAAAAATAAAGATCCTTAATAGTAAAAAAAAACATGTGGTATTTTACATATTTTATTTTAACCGGTAATTATTTTTTAAAAAAATAGACATTTCGAATTATTTTATTGATACGGATAATGTCAGAAAAAATTTCAAAAATTATTTTAATATTGAACGTAAGATATATAATAACGTACAAAAAGTAAAGTTCATTTTTATTGACGTTCATAATTTAAATAATTCTTAATTATAAACATTCAAGATTATATTTTTATTGACACTAAAGAGAGTATAATAAAATTTAGCTAATATTTTAAGAATCTCCAGCACAATATAGTTTCAAGAGTTATATTGCGTGTTGCACTTATATATTGCATGACGAACAACACATGAGATTAAAAACTTTTATGTACTCCGCAAATATGTTACAAGTGATAGAACAAATGAAGTTGATAAGTTTATATCTGTTGCACAATGTCTTGCACATAGTATAGTACATATTTTTTTTAAAAAAATTATATAATCAAGTATACAATATTTATCACGTAGATACTTACCTCAATTCGCATAAAAAAGTAACTTGGGATAAAATTTTAGGGATTATATCGAGGACTAAAATTCAAAATACCTCTAATATAATGAGAATTTGCTTTAACACATATTAATAATCATCTTTAGGAGCATGCATGAAAACATACGAGATTGACAATAAATACATTCTTAGAAAATTATGGCATATTAGAGGTGTTATATCTCAATTTTGTTCAATAAAAATAAAAATAAAAATAAATAATAATAATAATATAATGATAATAAATTTTGAAGAATATGGTTGAAGAATTGAAGAATAATAATATTATGGTTGTTTTTATTGATATAAATAATATTAGTATTAGGATTATTATTAGTATTATCAATATTGCATTTTTTCTTTCATTCTTATTTTTTTATTTTAATGAAAATGAAAAGAAAAATTAAAGAAAAGAGAAACAAAAAAGAAAAGGGACATTGAAAAGAAGATTGAAGAAGGAAAACAAAAGGAAAAGAAAAAGACCCACGGATTGCCCAGATTGAATCGCGATAAACGACCCAGATTTACTTCTTATTTAATCGCGATCGGACGGTTCTGATTAAAAGCAATGGACGGCCCAGATCAAAAGTGGATGGATATAAATAACCCAATCCGCACCCAAACCTTAACCCTTGCCGCCAGAGCCCCTGGCCGGAGAAGACAGCCCAGCCGCCGGAGAGCTGACCGCTGCCACCCGCCGCCATACCAGAGCAATTTCTGACCGCCAAACGAGGTAAACATTTCTTTTTTTGCACGAAATTCAATTTTAAACGCACCCATGCCCATATCAGAGTGAAAGGGCCAGCTGATTAGCCAAAAAATGCCGCCGAAGCTCGACGGTATCATCGCGGGGTGTTTTAAAAAATGCCTCCGATGAGGCCCTTCCCGATTCCCGTTTGATATGATTTTTTCACCGTTGTGACCACCGTTTCCTTCTCTACAAGTTGATCGAAGTAAAACACCCAATCGCAATGTGAACCGGAGGAGCCGCCGCACCGGAGAGCCCCACCGCCGGTGAGTTTCGATTTTTTGTATTTTTTTGGCCTACCGAGGGCCCTAAGTGTGTTTTCTCACAGGAACCGGTGCAAGTTCGGCTGAATTTGGTCAAAAATAGCCGAATACAGCCAACCCGAGGCAGATCGCCGCCGGCCGTCTTCGGAGCACGGCGGAGCCGCTGTTCTGGAATTTTGAAATTGGTCGAGTGGGCCCTGGGTCTAATTTTTAGGTTTATTTGGAACATTTGTAGATACCGTAAGCGCATTTCAGTTCCCGAAGGAAAATTCAGGGAACCCAGGGACCACTCATAGATGAAGTAATGATCTAGTTTTTGGCATCGAATTAAGTAAAGATCCCTCACCCTATTTCCTATCATAGATGTGAAGTTTGAATAAATAATAATATAGTCTTTTGTACAAGTTAGATAAATATGCATAATTAATTACATATTGCTAATGGAGCCCGAAATCGGACATTGTTATCTGTTGATTCCTGTTGATTTATTTTACAATTTAAAGGCATGATGGTTTCTGGTTTTAGAATCTTAAATGCAAGTATTACTGTATTAGTTGACCACTACATAATTTTGGGATTTAAGATATGATTGTATTACCGGGTATATGTTCATTGTTTATGTGATTGTGTTTAATTTGATAAGGAGATTAAGGATAAACAGGAAAAGAATATGATCTGATAAATGGGTAAGATGACAGCCTCACTAGATATCTTGGGAGATGGCGGACGAACCAGGTTCATAAGGAACCCTACCATGAACGTTGTCTCATACCGGACGAGGTATGGAGACTTGGTCATTTGGCGCTCATATCGAACAGGGTATGGGGACAGTCCGCTTCACCCTCATACCGGACAGGGTATTGAGGTTTAATGTTTTGGTGCTCATACCAGACAGGGTATGGGGATGCCCATGGAATTAAGATTGTTAATAGAAAGGGTTCAGGTGTAGTGGGGACACCCCTATGAATCCTCATAGATATTAGTAAGCTGATAAAAAAGGACAATTGTTGTTTGATGATTTAAATATAAAAATATGATATGTGCTATGTTACATATTATATATGAATTCATGATATTTATAATGTTATTATTTCCATAGGTTGTTTTTATAAATCTCATTGCGGTAAGTAGACGGTAAATGATTTGATTATTGATAAATGAATTTGTTTAAAATTTGTGCTCCATTGGTTGTTTTTGGTTTTCTACCAACTTTCGTTTCTGTGACGGCGATATATCGTGATGTCCTTACTAGGTTAATGTAGCTCACCCCCTTATTTAATCATTTCAGATTAGGAGGACCCAGTCTCCGAGTCCAATCCGCAAGGAGGCTACGAGTAGACCCTAGATACTTTATAGTTTCCTTTATTTTTTTTATTTTTCATATTTTTTTCAAAAAAAATTTTCCGTGATATTTGTTAGTACTTTTGAGTTATCGTGTAAGGGATGTTAACATTAACCTTTAGTTCGCTTCCGCACTCAAATTATTATATGCATTTCTTTTTAAATTTCTGGGATCATTATAGTTGGTATCAAAGCTGTTTTCCTCGAACCAATCCTATACACAATAATACTTAGAGAAACATCAAACAATGAATTATCACTCAACCATTCCTTGTGAAATGCAGGTATAGAGAAGTGAAAAGAGGAAGACCCCCACTAAACTAGGCAGCCTGGGAGGGTTCACTCAGGGAAGACGTGGACAGGATATTTGAGATGTTAGAAAGGCTCATTGCGGCCCAGTAGGGCCAAGAGGAGAGGAAGGAGCTACCTGACCCTTCCCCGCTGCCACAAGTTGAGCCACCACTGCACCAAAAGGATCTTGAACCACCTCGGTACGACCCTACTCCTCCACAGTACCACTCGGTGCCACCACCACAGTATAATCTGGTGCCCCTATTGTATCAATAAGTACCACCACAGGGTCCCCCAGTCTACCATCAGTCTGGCCCAGTCCCTTTTCCACGGCACCCAGTTCCTCCCATGATTGACCCGGGCTACATAGAGAGGTACAAGAGACTAAACCCATCCACTTTTGCAGGGGGATCCTCTTTATAATATGTTGAGTACTGGTTGCAAGAGACAGAGAAGGTCTTCAAGACCTTAGGGGTGACTTCTGAGTAGAAGGTCACCCTTGCTACCTACATGCTAGTGGGAGAAGCAGGCCGCTGGTAGGAACTCAAGTAGACCACCTTACCCATTCCAGTTACTTGGAAGTAGTTCCTAGCAGCCTTTTATGTAGAGTATCCCAGAGCATCTCCGACATCTGAAGGAGATGGAGTTCGTCCACTGGTACAGGAGAATATGACTGTGACAGAAATATGCTCGTAAGTTTCTGGAGTTGGGCCGATACTCCCTTAAGACGCTGTTGGATGAGGGCAAGAAGGTTAGGAGGTTCCAATGGGGCTCCGCCCAGATATCAAGCAGCATTTATTTGTATTGAAACTCGGGACTTATTCGGCCGTTCTGGCCAAGGCACAGTTAGTGGAGAGGAGCCTCCACATCCTCCCTCAGTCAACAGGGAACCACAGACCCTCATCTCCACCCCGCAGACCAGCACCTACCGTGGCTGTCCAACAGAATAAGAGGCCCAGGCCGGTGATCCAGACTCCCCCTCAGGCTCTAGTTATAGGATGTGGTAAGATCTGTCATCATTGCGACAGGGATCACGGGGACCGACCCTACTACTGCCTCAACAACACCTATCGCATATGTGATAGTGCCCAACATTATGCGAGAGAGTGCCTGAGGAACCAGAATCAGGGTCGACCTCCTATTTAGGGCAGGGCTTACAATCTCACCCAACAAGATGCCAAAGCCGACTCGAATGTGGTACAAGGTATGTATACTATCTGTAACTATCTTGCTCGTGTTTTGATTGACACTAGTACATTGCATTCATTTGTTTCACCTGTTTTTTTATCAAAATTGAATGTATTACCTGATAAACTTGATTAAATGTTATTTATGTCT